CTGCTTAGAGGAGACTTATGTTAAATCTAGATCGGTATGCTCTCTTCAAATTTAATTTAAGAAGCGTAAACAAGGACAAAATGAGACGGTAAAAACTTTGCCTGTCGACTACAGACTATTCTTTTTTTTTAAAAAAAAAACTTTATTACCTTTTTTTCTTACATTTTTAAGATACTTAACACTTTTTTCTTACATACATATTACTTTTTCTTACGTATTATAAACATATTTACTTTTTCCTAACATATTACATGATTATTACTTTTTCCTTTTTTATTACTTGATTATTATTTTTTCCTTTTTTTATTACTTGAATTTTAACTTCTTCCACAGGTTCTCCTGGTGCATTGACTTATTCTCCAACTCAGTCTGGGTGGACAGAGTCAGAGTCCTTATTTTTCTTTTTTGAGTACAGGGATACAATCCGAGTACCTCTTACTTGTAAGAGGCATGTTGCTACTACAACTATTGCCCCCTCTGCATATGCGTATGCTGCGGCAATGCCCACGAAAGGCCATTTTCACTTGAGATCATATTTGAAATCTATGATTTCAAGTGAAAATTAGGTATCAAGCTGCTTTGATACCGAATCGACCGCAGTTGGATTCGAACTCGAGACTAGGATTTTCTAGGCCACGTTCTTACCACGGGACCACATTCTCAGACAACTCATAAACGCGGCTATTAAAATGGGTAGAGGACCTGCTGCAAATGCTTATTTCACTGAATTATTAGAAGAGCAAGCTCTTCATATTTTCCAAGAGGGTTTGGGTTCCGTATTTAAAATGATCGTTAAATGTAAATCTCCTGCAAATTTAAATTCTGCAATTTCTATTGCAACTGAAGAAGAGATCAATTTAAACTCGGAAAAGGAAACCTATTCTCACAAACCTTTAAGACTAATTTACCACCTTGCAGACCACACGTTCCTATAAAACATGAACACATTTCATGTAATTATTGTAAAATTCCGGGACATTTAATGTGGGACTGTAGTAAGAGAATTTTTAATGAACATTCCAAAACAAATAAAATAGAATTAGCCACTGCATCATCGAATAAAGAGAATACTTCAGATAAGACCAATGATTCTCCTACAGCATCCACAAGTAAAGAAAGTTCAATACGTAAAGTCAGTAAGCTAAGAAACGCTCAACTGTCATGCATTTCAGATAAACAAAAATTAGCTTTAATAAACCTCGAATTTTTAGACACTACTACATCTAGATTAAATTAACTGGTAGATACTGGAGCCGAAATTAGTATAATTAGAATAGATAATTTAGATGATGATGCAGATATAGACACAAGTTTAGATAATAGAGTTAATATTACTGGAGTTACAAGGACCACTATAGATACGTTAGGGACACCTAAGTTAAGGATTCTGTTAGACAACAAGATTATTTCGCATAAATTTAGTGTAGCAGATACTAGGCTAGCAATTCTAGGAGATAGCATAATAGGGTTAGATTTTTTGAAAACTTTTAAAGTCAATGTAAATATTAATAATGATACAAAGATTTTAAGGACTTGAAGCCCATCCCTTTAAATTATTCACCTTTAAACTATTCCCTTTAGTTGAGTTAGAGCATCGTTCGGAGACTGTAGTTAGGGTTTCTACAAATATTAATTGTTTAGAAATTATTGAAAGGGAGGAACTTGCCGAAGGTGTATTTGTAGCAAATTCTTTAGTTTCACCTCCAAATCACACTTGTCTGGTTAACGTTATTAACTGTAATAAAGATAAAATTAAAATAAAAACTCCACTTTTAGATATTCACACCTTAGATTTTGAAAATCATGTAAATGCGTTAGAAATAAATAACATTAATGTAGAAAATAATTACAAATCAGACAGGGTAAATAGGATTTTTAATAAACTTAAACAAAACCACTTGAATCAATAAGAAAGTGAACTTTTGTATGAGATTTGTGAAGAGTATAATGATGTATTTTTTTAGAGGGTGATAAATTACCCGTAACTTCAGCTATATCTCATAACATTACAACTCTTCCAAGCTAACAAGCTACACCAGTTAACATCAAACCTTACAGACTTCCAAACAAAAAACTGAGATTAACAGACTTCTGACTTATTAAGACAAGACATAATAGAACCTAGTACTAGTCCCTGGAACGCATCATTATTCTTAGTTAGGAAGAAATCCAATGACGGTAGTATAAGTATAATCTAATGACTTAATGACTTGACAGTAGGTGTCTTTTCCACTTCCTAACGTTACTGACATTCTAAACCAGGTAATTCTAGACTAGGTAATTCTAAATTCTTTTCTACATTAGACTTGGCTTCGGGATTCCATCAGACCCGTTGAGCTCTGGTGACAAACATAAGACAGCATTCTCGACTCAAATGGGTCATTATCATTATAAAAGAATGCCATACGGATTAAAAAATGTCCCAGCCACCTTCCAACGTTTAATAAATTCTATTTTAACAGGACTGCAGGGTCTCAAATGTTTTGTTTACACGGATGACATAGTCATTTATTCTAATACTCTTCATGAACAATCTAGACGAATTAACGAAATTTTTGACAGACAGAAAAAGCAACCTTAGACTTAGACTCCAACCTAGTAAATGTGTACTTTTTTGTAAAGGGGTTTTTCTTATCTTGGTCACATAATTACTCCAGACGGTATTAAACCAGACCCATCCAAATATCCTCTGTCGCAAACTTTCTTGTTCCTAAATGCGCCAAAAACATAAAATCATTTTTAGGCCTCGCAGGGTATTACAGGCGATTCATCGAAAATTTTTCACATACTTCTAGGCAATTGACACAACTTTTAAAGAAAAACACAAAATTCAATTGGACATCTTCTCAGCAAAAATCTTTTGAAACTTTAAAAACTCATTTAACAACTGCTCCCATTTTAAAATATCCTAATTTTGAGATTCCTTTTAACATTACCACGGACGCGTCTGGCAAAACTATTGGGGCTATTTTGATACAGGGCCCTATAGGTGAAGATTTGCCAGTTGCTTACGCTAGTCGCACACTTAATAAAGCCGAAGAAAACTACTCTACTATAGAGAAAGAACTTCTGGACATTGTGTGGGCCGTCCAGCATTTGTGCATAGTACTAAATTTTATATTATTATGGATCATCAACAATTATTATAGTTGTTTGACTTGAAAGACCCAGGGTCGCGGTTAATGCGATGGCGCATAAAGCTGGAGGAATATCAATATGAAATAAAATACAAAAAGGGGGCTTTCAATACCAACGCGGACGCACTGAGCCGGATCTTTCATATTTCGTTAACAAGTACTTATGATAATTTTAGACTAGCCTTAAAAGACAAACTTATTTTTAATTCGAGAGTTAAGGAAGTAGATGATAAATTATTAGTATTTAATAAATCCATTTATACAGACTCTCCGCAAGACTTTGTTAGTAATAATATTTTGTATACTAAGTTGAAAATTAAGGTTAACAAATTCAATGAATTGACTGCGCAAAATAAAACGATCGGTCAAGTAGCGCACGTCAAACAAGATGATCATTTTATATTTTTTCTTTTGATCAGAAGTAGAGATTCCGATAACACAACCTGTCCTATCGAAACCCTCATTTTTTTGAAAACTTTATGCTTACAAAATAATATTAAAGCAATTAAATTACCAATGCTTATTAAAGAGACTGACAGACTTGACTGGACTGAAGTGCGTGCTATAATATGATATATTTTTAGAGACTCAGACATCGACATTGACGTACACAAATTTCCATTGCAAGATCTGAGGACGAAAAACATACATTATTTTCGGAATTTCATGACAAACCACTTGGCGGACATCAAGGATTTAGGAAGACACTCAAATTTTTAACTATAACTGGCCTAAACTCAAACGAGACTTAAGAAAATTTAAAAAAAAGTGAGGTTTGTCAGAGAAACAAATCATACTACCTCAATAAACACCCCTTGTTAATTACTGACATACCCACTAAACCAATTGAGAAATGCTCGCTTGACATAGTAGGACCTCTTACTGAAACAACTGACTCGTACAAGTTTATACTGACTTTTCAAGACCTTTTAACCAAAGGGTATGGGCGCATAGAGAGTATATAGAGAATCGGCCCCACCCTGGTATTAAAATAATAAATACGCCATTTTTAAGGTCTTTTTGAAAAAAAAACGATATATCAATTTTCAACTTTGTATCTCACCTTATGGCCGAAATATCATTGAAAATATGTGAAAGTGACCCCTTTTTTTAAACTCACTTTTTCGCGTAACCATAAAAGATATCGAAAAAAAATGTACGTGGTTCTATTCATATTGGCTTAGGCCACATTATGTAGAACAATCGATGAACATACAAAGATAAAATAATTTTTCAATTGATGTTTTCCGGTAGTGCGCTTAGTTGGATCACCTTCTAATTAGCATTATTCGAAAGCCTATTGTTTTTTCTTTTAGTACTGTATTTTGTGAAACACATTGGAAAATTGAAAAAAACGGAGTCAGTACATGCGCGCGTAACGCTAATAGTCCTACAATTGCATTCAATTCGTTCGGACGCAAAGCAGTGCGCGATGCATTTGTTGTGACCTATCTTTATCAGCACTACAATACTAAAATGAATGTAAGTGATAATTTTTTTTGAATTGTTATTATTTAAAATTTGTATAATATATTCGTCATTTGATGTGGCAGCTTTCTATATAGTACTAGCAAACCCGACGAACTCCGTTTCGCCACCAGATGGTTTCGTGAGAAAGATGAAGAAATTTTTTTCAGAGCAGTGAATCGGAGGTACAATAGGATCTTAGTCATCATCAAAACAATAACAAGCAAGTACAACAAAAATTTTAAATTCATTGTGTTGTGTATATTCAATAGTGCACCAATATTTACAAGTTTACTAGTGGAGTATTTAGTTTTTTTTGTGAAAATATTGTGTGTTGTGTTAATAAGAATAAATATTAGTTTATTTTAATTTAAATATATTATTGTGTACACTATAATGGAAAACGGCGACAAAAATATTAAGGAACAAGGCAGCGTGTCAATATCACCGAACTTAGAAAGAATTGGAGTGAAAATTCCACCTTTCTGGGCAGAGAAACCCGAATTATGGTTCGCGCAGCTAGAAGGTCAATTTTTGCTAGGAAATGTTTCAGCCGACGCAACGAAGTTTTATATTGCAATTTCACAACTTGATACGCAACACGCAGTCGAAATCGAAGACATAATCTTGAATCCTCCAGACACGAGGAAGTACGAGAAGTTGAAAGAAGAATTATTCAAGCGTTCATCAAAATCCCGCGAACAAAAACTTAAACAGCTACTCGAACATGAAGAATTGAATGATCGCAAACCTACGCAATTTTTGCGACATCTGAGAAGTCTGCAACCCGTAGATACAGTTCCAGATTCCCTATTACGAACAATTTGGAGTGATCGACTACCTAGCCAGATACAAGCAATCATTGCCTCTAGAAAAGATATGTCTTTAGAAGCAGTGGCGGAGTTAGCTGATGATATTATCAATGTCATACCACCAGCATCAAGAATCGAAACTACTGCAATATCTGCTACACATGGTAATATTACAGAACTTACAAAATCAGTGGAGGACTTACGAAAGCAAGTAAGTAAATTACTTGCCCAAAACAAAACCAAGCGACGTTCAAGAAGTAATAGTCCTTATATTAACAGACAATCAAAAAAATACGACGTTTGCTGGTATCACCATCGCTGGCAGGAAAAAGCTTTAAAATGCGTGAAACCATGCTCATTTCAGCAATCAAAAAACATGAAGGGCAGTCGCTAATGGCGGCAAGTGATTGCCTCAAGACGTCGCACCGCCTGTTTGTTACCGACAAAAATTCAAAACTGCAAATTTTAATCGATACCGGATCAGATTTGTGTGTTTGGCCACGAAAATTTTTACGAGGACATTACAAAAAAACAAATTTTAATCTTTATGCAGCAAATACAACCATTATTAAAACCTACGGTGACATACATGTACAACTTGATTTAGGCTTGAGAAGGAAATTCCGATGGCGCTTTGTAATAGCAGATGTGACAAATTATCCTATCATTGGCTCAGATTTTCTTCATTTTTACAATTTATTAGTGGACATTCGTCTTAAAAGACTAGTGGACGGAAATACAAACTCATATGTTGCCGGCATAATTAGAAGTGTCAACCTTACCAACATTACTACAATCACTGAGGAATCTGAATATGGTAATTTAATTAAACAATTTCCAAATATTATAAAACCTAGTGGCACACCAAGAGAAATTAAACACGATACTCTTCATCATATAATAACCACACCAGGACCACCAGTTGCTTGCCGACCTCGCAGACTTGGTCCTGTTCAATACGCAAGAGCAAAAACCGAGTTCGATGCTTTGTTAGACGCTGGTGTTGTAAGACGTTCCGAGAGTTCCTGGAGCTCACCATTGCACATGGTGCCCAAGAAAAATGGTTCTTGGCGTCCATGCGGTGACTACAGAGCTTTGAATGCACGAACTATTCCTGATCGCTATCCAGTGAAAAACATCAAAGATTTTTCATATAATCTATTTGGTTGTACCATCTTCTCTGTAATCGACCTAGTTCAAGCTTATACTCAGATACCAATGGCACCAGAAGATATTCCAAAAACAGCCATCACAACACCTTTTGGACTTTTCGAGTACAATTTCATGACATACGGGCTAAGGAACGCCGCCCAAACGTTTCAAAGGTTCATGGATCAAGTTCTTAAAGGTTTAAATTTTTGCGTATGTCATATAGATGATATTTTGGTTTTCTCATGTTCACCAGAGGAACATAAACATCATTTAAAAACTATATTTCAACGTCTAGATAACAATGGCATCGTAATCAACGTGGAAAAATCTAGATTTGGAAAATCAACTATCAACTTTCTAGGCCACAAAATATCGACAACCGGTTCAACTCCACTACCGGAAAAAGTAGCTGCAATAAAAGAATTTCCTACACCTAAGACAGCAAAAGAAATTCGACGTTTTCTAGGTATGTGCAATTTTTACAGGGATTACATACCTAATGCAGCATTAATCCAAGCCCCACTTGATGACTTCTTATCATTGCACGCTCTCAAGGGAAACAAACCTATAAGTTTACCGGATATATGTATTAAAGCAATTTGTAATATGAAAGAAGCTCTAGCAAATGCCGCACTCCTCGCATATCCTGATCCGAATGCAACTTTGGCAATATTTTCAGATGCTTCGGACAGGAAAATAGGTGCTGTTGTGCAACAAAAATCATCAAAGTCATGGCAACCACTGGCATTCTTTTCAAAAAAGTTGACTGAAAACAAATCAGCATGGTCTCCTTATGATCGTGAACTCTATGCTGTCTACCAATCCATAAAGCATTTTCGCTTTTTACTAGAGGGAAGACACTTCATCATATTCACGGATCATAAACCATTAATTTATGCTTTCAGACAACGTAATGACAATTGTTCGCCGAGACAATTCAAATGGCTTGATTTCATCGGTCAGTTCACAACAGATATACGTCATATAACTGGTAAAGACAATATAACTGCCGATACTTTATCAAGAACAGAAGCTATTTTTTCACCTGTAGACTATACACAATTATCAAAGTCACAGGAAAATGATCAAGAATTATTGGATTTATTGAAAAGCAAAGATACAGCACTCAAACTACAGAAGGTCAATATTCCGGGAACAAAAACCAACGTGTACTGTGACGTCTCTACCAAAGTTCCGCGACCATTTTTAACAACACCTTATAGAAGACAGATGTTTGATAACATCCATGATTTATCGCACCCAGGAGCGGCAACTACAATAAAAATGGTTACAGATCGATTTATATGGCCTGCTGTCCGCAAAGATTGTCGTGAATGGTCACGAACATGTATAGAGTGTCAAAAATCAAAAATTACACGTCATATGAAAACGCCTACTAGTAAATTTCCACTACCAAAAACACGATTTTCGGAAGTCCACATTGACATAATTGGTCCACTACCATCATCGAACGGCTATAGATATTGCTTAACCGCAATCGACAGGTATACTCGTTGGCCAGAGGCTATACCTATGCGAGACATAACTGCTGAAACAGTCGCAACTTCATTCATTTCTGGATGGATTGCACGATTTGGAGTTCCATGTCAAGTTACAACCGACCGTGGAAGACAGTTTGAATCTTTTTTATTCAAAAATCTTTCAAAAATGATAGGCTTCAAACAAACAAGGACGACAGCTTACCATCCATGCTCAAATGGGTTAGTAGAGAGATTCCACCGAAATTTGAAAGCAGCGATAATGTGTCACTACGGCAGTCATTGGACAGACGCTTTACCATTAGTGCTATTAGGAATCCGATCCGCGTGGAAGAAAGACTTGCAAACATCAAGTGCAGAGTTGGTATATGGCGAACCTTTGCGTTTGCCAGGCGAATTTTTGACAGCAAATACAGAAAATACAGTCGACAGCTCGAATTTCATATTAAATCTCCGAAAAATTATAACGAAACTTCGGCCACAACCAACCGCTCACCACAGAAAGGACACACCATTTATTTTCAATGACTTAGACACTGCAGAATTTGTGATGTTAAGAGACGATCGCATCAGAAAGTCACTGCAACAGCCATACACCGGTCCATATAAAGTCCTTGGTAAAAATAATAAAACAATCACTTTAGATTTCAGCGGCCGAAGAGAGACGGTTTCCACAGATCGAGTGAAGCCCGCCTACGTCCTGAAGGATCCTGAACAGGGGGATCCTTTGCAATACAAGACGAGGTACGGACGAAGGGTGAAATTCAGGATACCGACCTCCGGTCTCAGTAGGGGGCTGGTGTAGCGACCCTCGAATTGACCACCTCTGGAATGGCAAACACGACCAATAGCAGACTTCCACGTCGACAAGGTTTTGGTATAAAACCCAGACCTTTCATAGAATAATTCTCATTCTCTCATTCACTCATTTACTCTCCGCTTATCGGTTGTAACAAATGTAGTGTAAATAATAAGAAATAAATGTATTTGATTATATTCAACATTGTTTACCTACAACTTAACCAAGCTCACTAATGTCATTACTTGAGTTTGCATTAAGGCACGATGCCGTGCACAACTAATTTTGTTAGCTATAAACCTTGCGGAACCCGAGATCTTTGCGTTCTGGAGTTATTTCGTCAGGAAAGAAAACCCGACTATTTTATACATATATAGGAGATAATTTATTTGAAATTATTTAAAACAATTGTTGATTATTTTTATTACTCGAATTTTTAATTACGGTGCATGAAGTTCCAGCAATTTGCATTAGGACACGATGCCATGCACCATTATTTTTCTTAGCTATAAACCTTGCGGAGCCCGAGACCTTTCCAACAAATGCAAAATTGTCGAAATCGGTTCGTGCGTTCTCGAGTTATTTCGTCAGGAAGAAAAACCCGACTTATTTATATATATAGATAATATATATGATTTAGTAGTTTTTGATGTTGAAATATATGAGTGAGTTCTTGAGGGCGATACATCAAACAAAGAAAAGCCAAAGATTTATAAAATAATCTTTATTTCCAAACGTTTCGACATTCAATTTAATGTCATCATCAGTGGATCTAAAAACAGTATGAAAATTAGTATATCTAGGTAATTATAATATATGTAGATTGGTAAAGTAACTATACAATAAGAGAAAAATTAACAAACAGCAACACTTAACAACAAACCAAATATAAAAGATAGGAAAGGTAGTAGAAACTAGAATTAAATAAATAATTAAAAAGTATAGGCAAAAATATTTAAGTACACTCATATAAACCTACGCATATATACATATATATACATACACATATACACACATATACATATATATATATATATATATATATATATATACATGCATATATCCATATACACACACATGTAAACATATAATACACATATACATATACAGATACAACAATATATACCTATATATGTACACATATACATGTACGACTATACATATATAAATATACGTATATACATATATGCAACGTGCATGCATATTCACAACGACGTACATGTACATGTATGAACCATACATATACTCATACCTATCTATGTAACTATAGCTATACACGTAGACACATACATATACGCATAAACATGTATATATACATATATACACACATAAATATATACATATATATATATATATATATATATATATATATATATACACACACAATACATATATATACATATGTACATAAATGCTCACAAATATATATATACATGGTCTGTTCAAAAAGTACCCGGAATTACTAATAATTAAATTTCGCGGGTCTGGAGTGTCTGATTGTCAAAATTTTTTTTTATTGTGTTGGTATACATGCCCCTAAAGTATGATGAAATTTTCAGCTATATTCACTGTTTACTTTGTCTGTGGTAGTCGCTAAGGTTCGACGTGTTTTTCTGAGCTCGGCGATTTTTACAATGGAAGAATTGAAAAAGTCAAAGAATTTGTATTCAATTTTGCGTAAAAAATGAAATAAAGTGTTGCAAAGTGCAAAAATTCACCAGATATGGCTCCGTGTGACTTTTTCCTATTCCCAAAGTTGAAGAGACCCATGAAAGGACGGCGGTTTTCCTCGATTGAAGAAAATCGCCGAGAGTGCTCAAGGACATATCAAAAAGTGAATATCAAGGGTGCTTCGAAAATTGGAAAAAACGCTGGCATAAGTGTATTATATCTGGGGGGGACTACTTTGAAGGGGACCACATTAATGTAGACGAATAAATAAAT